CTACACCCGAGCCCGCGGGGCTCCGAGAGGTACACCAACCTCTATGTGCGTGCCGAAGTTCTGGCACCCTCAATCAAACATATCATTGAGAGTCCCGCTTGTACTGCTACGAAGCACTCTCCCTCCATGTTACTCCAGAGCTCTTCTTTCGATTTCGCCGCGGCATGAACGATTCACTTTGCTGACTGGGCCGCTAAGTTTACCTTCCGGTCTTTTTATTACCCTGGCTAGTAGACCCTCCTTAACTCTTGTTCCGTTCAGGTATCCTACCTCCAGTACTCTTTTAGCTATCAAATGCCAGTCTTCCCTACCTTTCCCTGCACCTTTGTCCAGAGGCTCACAATCTCCAGATATCTACTTTACGTCACTTATTTGTGTCTGCCAGTTTACCACGACGTGTAACCTGCGCAACTACGTCACTGTAAGGTTGAGGAGCCACTCTCGCCCCGCTGTCTTTTTTCTGTTCACTAGCTCTTCCTTCCCCTGAGACTGCCCTACCCGCTTGACTCGCTGTAGCCTCTTTGCTCAGCTGCCCCAACCGAGCCTCGCACTCCGTACGCTGCCCAATTCCAGCCTTCGACGCTTCCTCCTTTCCGAGCTCCTACACCCTCCTCTTAAGGTCAGCCCTCTTCTCACGATCCTTGTTGAGCTCGCTTCCCATGCTTTCCATAAAGTCCTCGCACCCCACTTCGTGCTAATCTAACCCAGACTTCCATGTTTCCCCTTTCTTGAGACTCTCTACATATCTCTCAAGCTCCACCCGCTTCTCTTGATGCACACTTCTCCTAAGTTCGCCTACCATGCACTCCCCCTTTTTTCCTATTCGCTGATACGCTCCTAAAATTACACCCTTAATTTCCCCATCGTAGCGAAATCCTCGACCTGTGTCGCCAGGACCACCTGCTTCGCTCGCTGTACTCTAAGCTCCCGCTTGACCTCTTCATCCTTAGCTGCTCACCCTTACCCTTCCCACCCCCCCCCCCTCCCCCACCCCCTTCAATTACCTTGGAGTCGTCCGGATTACTCTGGCAGATTCGGCAAACCATGCTGCCCTCCTATGCCTCCGCAAAGCTGTAGAAATCTGACCACTTTAGACGCACTCACGGCATGCACTCACCACGCGACACTAGGTCGTCACCCCTTTGTAGGGAGTCGTATGCCAAACCATTGCGCCTGTCAGTCTCAAACTGTGTTGAACAAAAACAGAAACTGCAAAAGAAAAAAATAATTTACCACAATCAGAACAAAGGCGAGAGCAGCGCACTGTCTTCCCTTAATACTAGTCTGCCAACGGCTTGAACTAACCTAGCTCCCTAGCTTAGTGGCTCCTAAAACATATGCCGACTTCTACATGCACGCGAGAGTTACTTCAATAAAAGCATGAAGCAAAACAAAATACGCTGAAAATGAACACAAAGCCCTGCTGTAGCCCTACTTACTAATTTCCTGCCTCCTATCCCAGCGCGTAACAGGTCTATGCAAACAATTTCATGAACGCTAGAATAGATTCTACGAAGGAAACACCAAATGCACTTAGCTTTGCACACCTTCAGAGAAGCTGCCCCAAAGGCGTCCGCTCTGCTCGACAGTGAGTTGTACTTGGTGGAAAGCCGTAGAGCTTTTCACGTCACTTATTTTAGCTCAGGGCACCGAAGCGCCATCTCTTTGCCAGAAGAACAAACAAAGGTCCGGAGGCGACTTCGCTCTTTTCATCCGCCATCTCGCGACAGCCCGCCTGATCGCGTCTGGAGCGGGGAGGCTGGTTGCAGCCATGTGAGAAACGAAGCTGTTAAAACGTTAGCCCTCAAAAAAGCACAGAGCGCAACAGCCTACAGCGTCGAAATAAATGAGTGCAATGATTATCTGGTTTATTCTGATTTGTTTTGATTCGGCGTATAATGTGTACACAGGCTCGCGGCTTGCCACTATAGTGTAATTCGCGTCCAACGAACCCCCCAGAGTGGACAGGTGAACCGGCCTTGCTCGCTAGGCTCACCAACGGGGCGCGAGAAACGGCGCCGCAAATTCGAAAACGACATCGTTTCAAATGGCTGACCTTCAATTGTCCTCTCTGTATCTCCTCTCTCGCTCCTGCTAACAGCTCGAGCCACTAAATAAGCTACGCTTCAGAGTAACGACACTCTGGTCGTCTTGGAGCTTTAAATCATGGTTGCCAGTTATCTGAAGCATTTATCTGATATAGGAGGAAACGTTTTTGAACCTTCTAGAAATGTTAAAACCTTCTGAAACTGAGGAAAACAGTATCACCTGTCCCTTTCTACCACCTTGTCTAAAGTTGAAAAAGTCACAATTGTGAATTGTAACGATCTACCGTTGCGTCTGCTCTGCTCGAAGCACCAAGATGGCGGCAGCTACTAGCAGGTCGCAGAACGGAGTGCCGATACTCTAAGCGTAGCTCATATATTGGATCTCTCAGCAGCCTTCGGATACCAGGAATTTCCTTTTCAATATTAAGGAACGTCCTCTTGGTTCTTTCTGTTTCCTGCTACTTTTTTTTTTCTTGTTCTGCCTAGAACACGTTAGTATTCGTCGCGTTTTAAACTCTGAGACCCTTTTGAAATGTCCTACTTCAATCTAAACAAATCACTTCCGAGGGCGCTGTCTTCATTTCCCCTATAATTATTGTAAAATATGAGAAGACGGAAGAAAACGTTTATAATTAATAAGACATTATGCCCTGAACCACCGCGCCTTTCCTCTATTGGGGAGATCTTGGTTTTAAGCTCCCAGTGAAGCATATGACATCAAATCTGGATCGTGAAAACTAGTTTTTGTTTAGTATATCTGCGAACTACTCTGAATTATCATGTCCAACAAACTATGAAAAACTTGTCCCATTCTCCAAGAGCCAAGTTTCAAAAGAAAGCTACTATAATATTTAAAATAAGGGCCACCATAAAATTCAGAGGTCTGGCTATATTCAGTAGTAATGGCCAAGAAAGAAATCCAGTGTAGCTCCACAAAACCTCATTCGTTTTTATCTAAACTAGCCCTCTATTTGCTACCGTGACACTCCCTAGTGCCAGCAGCGGCCTTTGACTGGTTATGATACGTCCTTGGTCACCGTCTTGACCATGGAGGTAAGCAGACAGGATTTTCAAGCGATAAAATCTCAACGTTTCAAAAGTGGTTTAAATAAGTCAGAATTGCTGCAACGGTTGCCATGTGTTTTAGTCACATTTCGCGGTGAGATATTACAGCTCACTGTTGGTTTAGCATTCGACTATACATGCGTGTGTAAAAAACAAAAATAAAAAATAGATCACCACCAGCAATTTCCCAAGCAATTACACCGCCGCAGCAAACGCGCTAGGCATCCGGCCCGCCTGTCTCGTCGTGGGCTCTGTTTCTAGTGGCAATACACTCACTCGCAGAGCCTCCTCACGCCACACGCCGCGGTCATTGCTGGAGGCACCCAGCTCCGCCGGTTCATGACACAATGCCGTCTATTCTAGTACACCCAATTTGTGACACTAGGAATGGAACCAACATGATTATGAAATCCTAAACTTGGGCCTATCGTCTCATTATCAAACAAAATTCCGGTCACCATTGTGCTACTTCCTGGAGAACCTCGATTTTTTCAGATACTGTTGCTAAGAAATAAACAAATTCAAATGAGAACAACTTTCTTTTCAACCATTGGATGCGTGGGTATGATTGTTATTGTAAATTATAGTACAGTTATAGTAAAAAGGTACACCACATCTTGCATGCCAGCAGTCCTCAAGAATATTAATATAGGCGTCATAGGTGACTTCAGGAAAATCCAGCATCATAGGCTAATGCTGACAACATGAAACTTAAATTCGAAGCAACGCCTGTTGAATTAATCAAATATCTGCTCTACAATTTTTACGTCAATGTAAACCATTTATTTACGTTCTTGATGGGAATGAACGAAATTGCATGGATTGCGATTTCCAGCACCTGAAATGCAGTCGCGGCCTTCAAAGGGCTCTTTAATATAGAGCATGATACGCAGTGATGCCAGTGCTTCCGGGAATGTCGCAGAAGGAGGGGTCGTTTTATGAAAGTCAAGAATAATAATTCGAAAGGATGTAATAGTAAAAAATCATCTTCAATTAATGATGAGTGTTTCCAAAAGTTTTGTAGTGTCCGTAAAGCGGTTTGGGGTTTGGGGGGTTTTCTCTTGGGACTCTGGTTGTAAACATATCACGAGAAAGCACTGTACATTACCAGGTCATCGCAACATGCTCACAGTAAGCTTCGTAAAATAAATTGGCATCCAGACATAGCAAGTCATGTACGATCGGCCAAGTATTCAATCACGCGCCTTTGGGTCTTGGCATGTAAGCAGCATGGCTATCAAAGGTCAACAAATATAAAGTGCAAGGAACGTTCGATGACGTGGCGGCCAAACCCGCCCCCTCATTGGTGTATGTTGGAGGCTAACAAATGCACTGTAGGCGTTTGAAAGTAAACAAACGTACAATGTGCGAAAGCCGTGGTTGATGTTGAACGTCGTATACTAGTAAAGAGTATGTTGTTATTATATTCTGCTTATGTAAAAAAAAAAAAAAAAACTGCTAGTCACTTTTAAATTTTAAAGGGGCCCTGCGATTTTATTTAAGCATCTACCTTGTTTGCGGCTTCCACATCTCTCTTGGATCGGGCAACCCAGCGGGATGGGAGATGGTAACTAAATATTACTGCGTCATATTTTAACCCGACGACGCGGAAATCTCCTCCTCCTACTGGGGCGCCCCGTGGTGCCGAACGCGCGCGGCATGTGTTACGTTTCTTCGTTAAGAGGATTAAATGTAGCGATTTCGTCTAAGAAGGAAGGGTTTATGTACAATATTTACATGTTCGTTCCAGTTGCTGAAAAAGTCACCATCGATTCCTCCGTTCTCGTCGTCGTTTCGTCGTCGTCTCTATTTTTCTCGTTACATCTTCGTCTTCTTTTTGCAATAATTATTCAACAAACTCCCCCGAAAATGAGCACAAGCTCATTCTTACAGTTCCAGGGGATGTAATAACTGTATCGGCTGGCAAAGTTCACGACCACTGGGTGTAATTATTCTGCAAGACCGCACCTTGCCGTCCCTTCCTGGGAATGTCTCGTTGACCCTGCAGAGTTTCCACATGTGTCGCGGTAGTCTATCGTCCTTGAGAAGGACCAGGTCACCGGTTGGTATACAGCTTGAATTGCTGGGTTTAGCGATATGGGCTGACCTCAGTTCTAGCAAATATTCTGATCTCCACCTTTTCCAAAATTGATTCATAACTGTGTTTCGATATTTCCCACCTCGCGCCAAGTTTACGGGGCTTGCTTGATCTTCTTCTGGCATTTGATGGGAGGGAATGCTGGTCAATTTGTGTCCCACCAGAAAGTGTGCTGGAGTGAGAGCCTCTCGTTCTTTTGCATCGGTGGAAATGAAAGTCACCGGACGGGAGTTGACTACGGCTTCTACCTCCGTGAGGACAGCTGTCAGTTCTTCGAAATTCAGACTACTGAGGCCTACAACCTTACGCAGCGAAACCTTGACTGACCTCACTAGTCTCTCCCAAAACCCACCCCACCAGGCAGCTCTCGCTACAATCGTTTTCCATCTAATTCTATGGTTTGCAAAGTACGTTTGCACTTCCTCCCCTTCTATCGATTCAAACAATCTCTAGATGTTTTTGGTTGCTCTTTTGAACGTTGAGGCATTGTCGGAATAAATCGTTTTCGGGATACCTATGCGTGCCACGAATCGTGTGAATGCCAATAAAAAGGCTGTTGTCGTTAGGTCGCTCACCAGTTCGAGGTGCACAGCACGTGTCACGGCACAGGTAAACAGGACGATGTAAACCTTGTAGCTTCCGCACTCACGTCGACAGATAAGCGGCCCAGCAAAATCCACCCCTGTTTCTTCAAACGGTTCGCACCTTAATACTCGGTCTGCCGGTATTGGAGCTACAGGCTCGGAGGCTGGTGCACAAGTTTGCCTTTGGCAAGTTATACAGCGACGTATGACCTTTCTTACGGCTTGCCTTCCCCTTAGAACCCAATATGTTTCACGTATTTGCGTCAACGTGTCTTCAACTCCGGCGTGCAGTAGTCGACGATGTTCTTCAGCGATGAGAAGGAAGGTGAATCGGTGGTCTGCAGGTAAAATAATTGGATGTTTCACTTCTTCTTCGTTGTCGCTAAATTGCAATCGGCCACCAACTCTTACGATCCCATCACAGTCTATATTTGGGTTAAGCATCTTGATTTTTGAAGTCTTCTGAACTTGTCGTTGATCTCGCAAGAGTTGGATTTCCTTTGAAAAGGTCTCATTCTGTGTTGTTTTTATCCAGAATTTTTCAGCTTCTATAATTTCCTCGCTCGTTAGGAGACCACTTCGTTGGCCTTGTTGTTTTACGTTGTTTGTAAACCGTTTTATCCACGCCGTCACCCGAATCAACTTAATAAATGAACTGTACTCTTCCAAGCTCACCAGTTGATTATCTTGCGGTACTGCGAGTTGTATAATAGTCTCTTTCTTTTCTTCCGCGAGGTATTCATTGCCTTCTGGTTTACCCTGAATTTGACTCGGCCATGATGTTTCGGAGCGATGCAACCAGATGGGTCCATTCCACCATGTCTTGCTCTGTACTAGAGACATTGGCATAAATCCCCGTGTTAGGAGGTCTGCTGGATTTTCTGTACCAGGGCAATGCCTCCAGTTCCTTGGTTCCGTCAGAGCTTGGATTTCCGTGACTCGATTTGCTACGAATAGCTTCCACCGGGTTGTTGAACCACGAATCCAATGCAGGACAATCGTAGAGTCCGTCCACAGATATATTGGAAGTCCTTCTAGCTTCAACTTGCTCGCGAGGAACTGCGTCAGTCGAGCGCCTATCAATGCCCCCATGAGCTCTAGTCGCGGAAGAGTCAACCGTTTGAGGGGTGCAACTCTCGATTTTGCCATTATTAGAGCCACCCCCTTCCCATTTTGGTCTTTCGATGTCAGGTATGCTACAGCTTCGTATGCTCTTGTACTTGCGTCGCAGAAGACATGTAACGCCTTTTCTGTTTCGTGCTTGGGGAAGTCGAGAGCAATGAGTCTTGGGACCGCGATGTTTTTTAGTGCAGTGAGGTCTTTACACCATGCGTCCCACTCTTCGTAAAGGTCAGCAGGTAATGTCTCATCCCAATCAACTCCTCGCTCCCATAGCTGCTGAACAGAATTTTTACAGTGATTATTGCAGGAGCCAGTAGTCCCATTGGATCGAAAATGCGAGACGACGCTTGCAACATACAGCGTTTGCTGTCCTCTCTTGAGCACTGAAAGTTGATGAGAGAAGTGAGATCGACTTTGATCATGTCCGTCCGTGTTTCCCAACCAACACCTAAAACTTTCGTTGGACCAACCAGTTCGATTAGTTCCTCTTGGGCGGAACTTTCTTTCGTCACTTCCTCTAATAATATTGCACTATTTGACTTCCACTTCCGAAGCTTCATTCCTGCCGTCTGCATTATTTCCCTTGCTTCTCTGCAGAGGACTTCTGCTTCTTTCAAATTTTCCGCGCCCGTTATCAGGTCATCAACATATAGGTGGTCCTTTATAATCTTCGTGGTTTGAGGAAATTCTTCTTCCATTAGGTCTAAATGGTGTCTCAGCGTGGCCGCGAGGAGAAACGGACTTGATGTTGCTCCAAAGAGAACTCTGGTCATTCTCCACGTTACTACCTGTGGTAGTTGATGTCCTCGTTTGGGTGTACTGTCATACCACAAGAAACGTAATGCGTCTCTGTCTTGGTCCACCAAGGTGACTTGCAAAAATGCCTTCTCGATGTCAGCTGTCACTGCGATGTTGTGTACGAAACGCGATCAGTAGATCGATCAAGTCAGGGTTGAAGTTTGTTCCGCTGGACAAGACGTCGTTCAGAGAAAGTTCCCCAGCGGTGCTAGAAGACGCGTCAAATACAACCCGTAAGTTTGTTGTTTGTCGGTCTTGCCGTACAACCGCTTGATGTGGCATGTAATATACGGGATTTCCGGCTTCCTTTGTATTTACGACCTTTTCTGCGAAGCCATTTACAAAGTATTCCCGAATGGTGGTGTCGTAGTCCATCATAAACGCTAAGTTTTTCATCAGGCGTGCGGTGAACGACCTAAGTCTTCTTTTTGCATTCTCCTTGTTGTCGTTCAGCTCTTCAACTTGATCATTCCATGGCAGAGAAACTTAATAATGTCCTTCTTTATATTTTACTTTGCTCTCAAATTCTTCGAACAGTAGATTTCCTTTGGTCGGCGACTCTTTTGCAGTTATCCGAATGTTTTCCAGTTCCCAGAATGACCGCAGCTGTGCAGATATGTCAGTTATGTCAGCTGTAGTCACTTTCAATACTCCTGTAATCGATGAGTATATAGCAGTAGACGAAGTTGAGGGCACGGGACCTTGTAGAGTCCACCCAAAGATAGTGTCGACGGCCTTCAGCCCTTTTTCCAAGCGCTTTACACTTCCACTTTCTACTTCCCAGTAATAGTCAGCTCCGATTAGAAGGCTGATGCCTTTCTCACATTCGTTGTTGCTGAAAGCGCTATCCGCAATGAGCATGTCTTCAGGTATGCTCAGCGCTACCTTTGGTGGTGCGGCAATGATGTCGGCACAAATCTGTGGGACCTCTAAAGCTTCAATGCGTACGTCTTTTCTGCTGTATTGATTGCGCAGCCATAGTTCAACTCTTCGACACGTTCTTGGAGCAGTTGCTGCGCCTTCTCCAAAGGTAAATATGTTCAAGTCTTCCTCTCCGAGAACCTTCAGGTGAAGTTTCTCCGCGATGTCCTTTATAAGAAAAGTGCGTTGACTTCCACCGTCAATCAGGAGCCGAACGAACGCAAGGTCTCTTTCACCTTCGGCCCACGCTTTTGCTGTTTGTAGAAGCACTTGGCAATGCCCTCTGTTTTCTTTATCAGTTGTTTTTAGAGAGGACTGGAGCACATTTCCGGTAGGGACTGCTTTGTTACTTCTTATTAAGGGCTTGTTCAGAGTTTGCTTTTCCAATGCATTGTAATTCGGGTCGCACATCGTTGTTGCGTGTCTTCTGGAACAATTATCACACTTTAGCCACCTTGCGCTTTTGCAATTCTTCGCACAATGGTTAGGTTTAGTGCATCGGAAGCAACGATTGTTCCCTTTCAGGACTTCTTTTTTTCGGTCCAGGGGCATGCGCACCGAACAGATGGCAGTTATATGGTCAGCTGATCCGCAGAACAGGCACTGGTTTTTGTTGGTGATCGTTCCTGTCGCGAACATAGCTGTCGAAGGTGGATATCGTCTAGGTCGTTCGTTCCTCCCAGTTGAAGAACTGGCCATACTGGCAGTTGGTTGGACTCTTTGGTTTCCATGCTGAGTCCGCTCTCGACTTTCGATTTCGCTTTTCAAGAAGTTCAAAAACTGTTTTAGTTCGTTGCCTTCGTTTGTCGCTTCCGGTGTTGTTTTTCGATGATATTCTCGTTCGAGGTCTGATGGCACAGCCTTTCGCAGGACTGTTAGTAGGAGTGTCCCGTAGGTGTTTGAAGAGACACCAAGCGCCTCAAGGCTTCGGACTCCTGTCTCAACTTTGTCATACAACAACCTGAGCTTATCCACGTTGTGAGAGTTACTGACTGTTCTCACTGCCAGTAATCGTGACATGTGTTCTTCTACGATGATCTCTTTTTTCCCGAATCTTGTTTTTAGGAGGTCCAGTGCAACGGTGTAGTTTTCACCTGTCAGTTGTAACCCCTCAATTTCTGTAGCAGCTTTAGCTGTAAGGTAACTTTTCAGGTATTCAAACTTGTCAATTTCAGACAGAGAGACGTTTTAGTTGATTGCAGCGTTAAACTTGTCCCAGAAACCTTGCCATGACCGTATGTCACCCGTAAATTTTGCAATTTCCAGCTTTGGAAGTTTGACCGTTGCGTGTTCTTGACTGATAGGCCGTGGTGGTCTTGAACTTGCGCCTGGCATTGAGGTGTCCAACGTCATGTTAGTCCGTTCATGCTCTTTTAGTTTCCGTAGGACTTTTGTTTTCGTTAAGCTAATTCTTTCGGCGTAGCCCTCTGCGTTTACCATCTCCTGTTCCGGCGTGTCATCGATGATGGCTCTCTCAATCTGATCGTCGATTTCTTTTAACGCAGATTCTTTGAGTGTCAAGATGTTAAGCTTTTCTTCCAGCTCCCCGATGGACGTTGGTTCCATGCCTAGAAGTGTGACGATTTCGGAAATGATCCTGGTGGTCGCCGATCGAATCACGGTTCTTCTTCTTTTAAGTTGTTCGATGGCGGCTGGCGTTAGTTGATCCATTTTCGTTTAGGTAAGTCCACTCGGGTGATCGTTGGGTTTTACGACGGATGTTCCAAGTTTTTTTTTTTTTTTCGCCTTTCCTTGATTCAGCTACTCCCGAGTTTCGGCACCAAAGTTTATGTTACGTTTCTTCGTTAAGAGGATTAAATGTAGCGAGTTCGTCTAAGAAGGAAGGGTTTATGTACAAT